CCCGCTGTGGGCCCCGCCTCGGCGGCTCGGGGCTGGAGCGCTCCAGCTCCCTCCCCCCCGCTCTCCCGGTCGCGCGCACAGCATCGACTAGCCTGGGCCTCGCTGATTTGTCTGTGGTCATCGGCCCCTGGCCCAAGAAAGGTTCCCCCGCCCCTGCTCTCAAGCCTGACCTCGTAGAAGGCGGCTTGGCCACGCTGCCTGAAATGCCCAGGAGAGCCAGCGCTGCCTCCCTCATCATTCCCCAGCTCCGTCCGCAGGGCCAGAGGAAGCAATTGGCAATTTGGGAAAGTGGGATGTCCCGGCTGATTTGTCTGTGGTCATCGGCCCCTGGCCCAAGAAAGGTTCCCCCGCCCCTGCTCTCAAGCCTGACCTCGTAGAAGGCGGCTTGGCCACGCTGCCTGAAATGCCCAGGAGAGCCAGCGCTGCCTCCCTCATCATTCCCCAGCTCCGTCCGCAGGGCCAGAGGAAGCAATTGGCAATTTGGGAAAGTGGGATGTCCCGCTGGTGTCGTGCCCAGCACAGGCCAAGCCTCACCCTGCCCTGGCACCCTACTTGCGTGGCTGGAGCAGCCCTGCTCCCTCTCCCCTTTCTCCCCACAGTGGGTTACACGCTCCCTGGGAATGGTGCAGCCAGCCCTGCTCCTGGGGAGCCGGCTTTGCTTTGGCAGTGAAGCCACCCTGGGAGCGGTGCTGGCAGAAGCTGCCTGTCCCAAGCCAAGGAGCCTTCACTGAACACTACAGAACCCGCAGCGAAGCTTCCCAGGGAGCAGGGGCAGTGGCCCTTGCTGGCCCCGCTCCTGGGAGCCAGCTTCGCTGTGGGTTCTGCAGTGTAATTTTACCCTGGGAGCAGAGCCAGTAGGGCCTGCAGGCCAGCCCTGCTCCCTAGGAGGCATCGCTGCAGGCTCTGCAATATAAGAGAGCCCACAGTAAAGCCTGCCCCTGAACGGCACCATCAGTCCCTGCCCGCCCTGCTTCCTGGGAGCCACCTTGGCAGTGAGCTCTGCAATATAAAGCTTATACTGCAGCACATGTATAACCGTTAGGATTTTTAGCAGCTACACGGTTACATCTTTAAATGACTTCACCTCCCTACCTCAGACCACCTCCGGCCACAGTATCTATGACTGGTTTTTGTAAGACACTTTCTAGCTCATAGCAGAGTGGCTGAGTTGTACATTAAGGCCAAAGGAGGCCAAAGACACTCATGTATTTTTAAAACATTATTTTTCACCTCCACCCATACCTGCCCATGGCGTTGACCTGGTCTTTGAGCTTCCTTCATAGACTGCCCCTGGCAGCTGATGTCCTGTCTGAAACATGAACACACATCAGGACTTCAGCCTTCTTGGCCATGAAATTGTTTATGGTGTTTATCTAGTCCTCCCTGGTATTTACCCTTTGTTGAATATGTCTTGGCTTTCACCAGTATGACTGATCCATCACTCCTGGATAGTCCTGGACTCAGTTGTTGCCATTTTGTTGGGACACAGGTCATTTTTCTGCCATGATCGGGTTTTTATAGATTTTTTTACATATGGCATGGTTAAGTGATGGCAGTGCAAAATCATTTGTTGCCTGTTGCTCACCCAGTTTCTAGTAGGCTTTGGATACCTGCAGTAGGTGTCTAATTCGAGCAGCAGATTTGCTGCTGTGGATAGCTAGCTCTGGGATATGTGACCCATTATCCAGTCATACCAGTTGAGTTGTAGCTGCCTAAAGTCCCCTCCCTGCCTGTCCCAAAGTGCATTCATATTCATTAAGTGAGTTTATCTGGCATTGGAAAAGGTTCAGAAAAGGACAACAAAAATGATAAGGGGTTTGGAACAGGTCCCCTATATAGAAAGACTGGAATGTTTTAGTTTAGAAAAGAGAAAACTAAGGGGGGATATGATAGAAGTTTGTAAAATCATGACTAGTGTGGAAAAAGAGAATAAGGAAAAGTTATTTACTTGTTCCCATAACATAAGATCTAGGGGTCACTCAATGAAATTAACAGGTAGCTGGTTTAAAACAAACAAAAGGAAATTTTTCTTCAGACAGACAACCTCTGAAACTCATTGCCAGAGGAGATTGTGAAGACCAGGAATTCAACAGGGTTCAAGAAAGAAATAGATAGATTCATGGTGGTTAGATCCATCAATGGCGATTAGCCAGAATGGGTAGGAATGGGGTCCCTAGCCTCTGACAGAGGCTGGGAATGGGTGATAGGAGAAGGATTGCTTGAAGATCCCCTGTTCTGTTCACTCCTTCTGGGCCATCTGGTATTGGCCACTGTTGGCAGACAGGATGCTGGGCTAGATGGACCTTTGGTCTGACCCAATATGGTGGTTGTTATGCTCTCAACATGAAAACTAAAAGTTGGCTTCCAGCTTGGAGTTGAAGCAGGACACCAGCCAGTTTTCTTTGTGAACCGTCTGTTCATACTGCAGTAGCAAGCTCCTGAGCGGCACACAGCATGTCAGGTTAGATGGCCACAAGGGCTCTATTGTTACTCATAGGCTGACTTCAGGTCCTGACCCAGAACTATGTGGGATTAGTTATGATAGGACTCCTGCCTGTCCCAGAGCACAATGGCTCACTGCTGGGGTGTGGTAGGTCCCTCATCTTTTCAAAGAATGGAGAAAACATACCTTGAAGTCATTAGGAGTTACTTAGGCTCCAGGGAGCTCTCTATATGCAGTGATGATGGTAGCAAAGCACAGAAGCAAGTGGGTAGGAGGAGGTGGTTTGATGTAGGGCAGTAGAGAAGACCGCTGTAGCTCATCACACAATGGGAACAGCTTTGATCAAGAGCATCTGCACCTGGCACAAAGAGTGCCTTTCCTGACAGATCTAGGACCTTACCACAATTATTGAGCCCTCAATAATCTTGAGATTAACATTCAGTAATGTACCTTATGGGACTATATACGTAGTGAAGCTATTTGGAAACTGAAGTTAGAGCACAGTGACCCTGCACTGCTATCTAGTTGCGGTATTATACACCTCCCCCTCACTCCCAAAAATCATGATTCAACCCTCCAAAAATCATGACATTAGCTTAAAAACTCACAAGATGTTAATTACTTTGGTGCTTCTTTTTATTTGCCTTCTGGTATTTCAACCTTTAGGATTCCCATTTTCAAGCTTTTCTCTGCAACCATGAAAATTACAGCCCCTGACTGATGTAAATTTCACTGACAGAGATGCTGATCTAGACAGTACTGTGTCAATGGGAGATGCTTTCCCAGCAACATAGACACCAGTTCTCATTGTGAGTAGTTTAATTATACAGACGGGAACACTATCTCTGATTCGCACAGAGTGGTTACACTTAGGCTATGTCTACACTACCGGAACAGTAGAAAATATGCAAATGAGTCCCTCATTAGCATATTTTTTGCCAAGAAAACTTGTACTGTAGACATAGCCTTACAGTGCCACAATTGCAGCAGCACAGCTATGCTGTTGAAAAGTCTGTAATGTAGACAGAGGGTACTTCTACACTGCAGGGGTTTTTTCAGAATAACAGCCGTTATTCCAGAAAAACAATACTTGCATTCACACTGCTATTACGTTCTTTTGACAAAAAGTTGAAAGAACTGAGGGGTTTTCCTGATAGCGGTAAACGTCTTTCTAGGAGGAAGAAGCCTTTTTCGGAAAAAGGCATGTGCGGATGCGGAAGAGGGCATTCTTTCCAAAAGAGAGGCCTCCAGGAAATAACAGGTGCCCTGGTGGCCACTCTGTCCAAACTAATCACAACTCTATAGTTCCTGTCTCCTGGGAAACAAACCTTGTGGCAGGAAGCCCACCCTGGGAGCTGCACTCACCATGTGGCTGTGACTGCCACAGTGCTGCACAGCTATGGCCCAGCCACAAACCCCCCAAGACCTCCCCGGCCCTCGCAGAGACCATGACCAGCAGTTCCAGGACCCACCAGGGGCCAGAAGAGGTATGCGCCATCATGATCCGGGGTAGAAATCCTGGCCCTCCTGGAGGTGTGGGGTGAGGAGGAGACCCTGCAGGATCTCCATTCCTGGTGGCACAACTCCGACATAGATGGCTGGATGGCCAAGCCTCTGGCCATGAGAGGCCACCACCTCTAGAGCCTCAAAAAAGTAAGGAGCAAAGTCAAGGGGCTACACCAGGGCAGATCTCTTCCAGCAAAACTTATTCCAAAAGGAGCCTGCAGTCTAGATGTAGTCAGAGTCTAAACAAAATTTTGGCATGAAGAGGAGGGGAAGGAAGAGAGTCTTGGACTTCTTAGTTCACCAGAGCTGGATTTAGGCTATGTCTACACCTCCCTTGTGCAGAGAAGCACCTACATTGTTTACAGAAGAAAAGTCACAGTACTCAGTTTCTTTGGCCCAAGAAACCTTTAATGCCAGCTGGCAAGGGAGTTAGAGTCAGGTATCTATATTCTGGAATGTGCAACCTGGTTCACCAAAGAATGTCAAATGAGGTCTTAAATGAAAGCTGGAAGTCACACTAATCATTAATGTTATTGTGAAATTTATGTACAGATACTATGTAAGGAATCATGTATATACTGAAAAATTAGTCACCAGCAGAGGTGAAAAGCAGGTCTGCATAGGAGATAGGGAATGTATCTGTGTAGGAATGTAAATGAAGCATTGTATACTAACTATGAAGTCCCATTTACATATAAAGTCAAATGTTAATAAAAAGATGTAAAGTCAATTGAACAGCAGCGTGTGCACACACATGCACACACCAAGTCATAGGTAGTTATCCTGGCTCTGAGTACTGACAATTAACTTTGAGGGAATGCTTAGAAGGGAAAGCAGACACCACCCTCATCCTGAATTTTGGAAGTAAACAAGCATGCTTGCATTCATGAAAATGAGATCACAGCCATTGGCTGAAAATATTGCAGAAGACTTTGGGTAAGATATGGTATTTTTAGGCAGGAAATTAACCTGCTAGTTAAGTTTAATCTCTAGGAAAAGCATGTTATAATTGTCTCTCATATGTATCCATTTGTTTACAGCATCATAATGCACTATTGCTTATAATCTTGCATCTTTGATAATAAATTTATTCTAGTTTTCACGATACATATAACTAAATGCTGTAATAGTAAACAAAGTGCTGGTCCTTAGCTGAATTTTATAAGTTGCCATGTATATTGTTCCTTTGGAGACAGCAGACCCAACATTTTTGTGAGTGTTGAATGAATAAGAGACTGAACACTACAGGAGACTCAAGCACTGGGGTGAACATTTTGTTAACCTGC